CACAGCATTGTTGCACGGAGCTCCGGAGCTTCCTTCTCAGCACAGGCCAGAGGGAGACGTGGCAGCAGTAGCCGGAGCCTTGGCGCGAGAGAAGCGCCGCCTCCTTCCCCTCTCCCTTCCCCAGTACCTGTTGCTCCAGATGCCATACAGCAGCTCCACGAAGGCAAAGGAGAGGTTGAGGCAAAGGAAGAAAAAGAGGTTTCGCGATGTCTTATCGGAGAGGATGGACCTAGAGGGAAGGAGGAGGCGGAAGGGTCGTTGATTGTTTTTCTTTTCCAGGCCAGAGGCCCTCAGGAGAGAAGAGCCGTCTCGCTCGTCTCGCCTTGTCCCTACATGCAAGGGTGTCCGGTTCACAAGACCACATCTCAAACAGACCACCCACCCCTGTCAAAAAATCGCGACCCTGCTTACACCCACACACCCTTTCTGCTAGGCTCTGAGCAGCCACATCCTCAACTGCAAGGCCAAGACTCTGCCACAACCACCGACAGCCTCCCCCTTCAAGCCAACGTCCCTTCCTGAGCTGTTCAAATCTCTCCCCCTCCCCAACACACACACACACACCCCTTCCCGCCTCTCCTCACAACCCCACAGTCTGGTCTGTTGTTATCTCATTTCAAGGTTCCCCTTTACCCGCTCTGGCAGGGACTTGACATAAAGAATCCCCCCTTCCCACATTACACGAGACTTCCTCTCCCATCCCCAAATCAATCAGCTGCGGTCTCCATCACTACTTGGCTATAAACCTCCCAGGCTGGACCCTACCCCCCCCCCAACACACACACACACACCCGGCATCCCAAGCTATGAGAAACCAGACGTGCGCTGGGAGCCCCCACTCCTGAAATCGCCGGGAGCATCAAACGCGCTCTCTCCCAGCACATGCCTGGTTTGCTCTCAAAAGGATTCACCCACACGCCCCACTCCGGCTGAAGCCCAAACCAACCCCGAGACCCTGCCCTCGGACTCCAGCTACTGCTGCCGCCGCCGCCTCTTCCTCCACAGTCACCCCCTCTTTACCCACCATCCCAGCACACACACACACCCCGGACCACCCCAACTTCCTACTCCGGCCCCCTTTCCCCCTCTTCCCCGGAAGACTCCGCTCACCTGAACCACCCCGAGATCTTGCGGCAAAGGTTGAATTTGGGCGGCTTGTACTCATCGTCCTTGATGGACAAAGGGAGCATCTTCCCCGGCGGAGGAGACGAGGGGCCCAAGGCCTAGCCGGGCTCGAGGGCTGCCCACTACCGCAGCGCCCCCCCGCTCTCAATCTCGGCCAGGCAGCTGCTCGCAAGTCGACAAACCGGCCCGCTCGGCCAGCAGCCACTTCCGGCCCCGCCGAACCAATGAACCTCTCGTGAGCGTGCGCAGTAGGGGAGCGGGCCTGCTGACGTCATGAAGTCTGAGGGTTCCCTTCAAGAGCAGGGTTGGGAGGACCTGTCTCAAAAGTTGGAGGTCGGCATGTCAGCTGTAAAACGCGCACCCACGCCAAGTTTGTGTGAATCTGCTCGGTTGCTCTCTTGGCTCTGTCGCAAGCCATTGCTCCGTCAAGGAAGAAAGCTTCTTTCTGCACTCTACTAAGCATGTGCGTCGATCCCAAGTAAGTATTCTGCTGCTCAATCTAGTATATTTGTGTATCCCTCCTTTCTTCCAACGAGCTCAGAGGCGTACATCGATTTCTTTTCCTCGTTTTATGCTCACAATGACCCTGTGAGGTAGGTAAGCTGAGAGAGTGTCATTATCCCAGGATCACTCAGAGTCAATTAGCTTCACAGCAACGTGTGAATTTGAACCTGGGTCTCCCAGATCCTGTTCCAATACTCTAACCACTACACCATGACCCTGAGCACAATTCCTTGGAAGTACGTCCCAATAAGTTAAATGGGATTTCCTCCCAAGTAAATGTGCCTCGGATTGTAGCTTTAGAATTCAGCTTCGGCTAGGCTGGTGAAAGAGGGATAAACATGCTCCAGAGAGCACCTGTTCATACGCACTCTGATCCTCAGTGCTCCCCATAGGGGGATAAACATGCTCCAGAGAGCACCTGTCCATTCCTACTGAACGCACTCTGATCCTCAGTGCTCCCCATATTGACACAGGCAATATGCTTGTGGTGAATGAGGGGTGGGGGTGGGAGGGAATGCCTCGACAGGGGTGGTGATGGAATGCAGTCCAGGCATCTTCACAGCTAGGAAGACACAGGAAAGATGCTCTTTGACAGATACAAAGCATCCGTTCCAGCTGGGCAGAATAATACACCAGCCCTTTGACATGTTGACACCTCTTGACTGGAGGGTGCAGGTTTGTCAGGCTGGAGGATTGGCTGAAGACCCCTGAACACATGTGGGGTGGGGTCTAGAAAAGGGGGCTGTTCCTTTGTTTTGGGGTCTTCTTGACTCAAGCTCTTCGGAGGACTCCTTGTTGGGAACTCCTGGAAGCGAATGTTTTGCCATGAAGGATGACAGAGGAGAATGATGCTAAAGCGAGTTAAGAACATAAGAGACGCCAATGTTGGATCAGGCCAAAGGCCCATCCAGTCCAACACTCTGTCACACAGTGGCCAAAAATACCAGGTGCCATCAGGAGGTCCACCAGTGGGGCCAGGACATTAGAAGCCCTCCCACTGTTGACCCCCCCCAAGCACCAAGAAGACAGAGCATCACTTGCCCCAGAGTCCCTATCTATACCTTGTGGCTAATAGCCACTGATGGACCTCTGCTCCATATGCTTATCTAATTCCCTTTTGCAGATGCACCACATCAGGGACGTCCTGCAACTACCCAAATCAGATACAACCTGGATTGTAAGTACTTTAGTTAATATCTGTATACACCAGTTTGGTGTAGTGGTTAAGTGCGCAGACTCTAATCTGGGAGAACCGGGTTTGATTCCCCACTCCTCCACTTGCACCTGGCTGGATGGCCTTGGGCAAGCCATAGCTCTGATAAGAGCTGTTCTTAAAAAAGAGCAGTTTCTCTCAGAGCTCTCTCAGCCCCCCCTCCCTCACAGGGTGTCGTCGTCGTCGTCGTCGTCGTCTCCTCCTCCTCCTCCTCCTCCTTTCTTCCTCCTTTCTTCCTCCTTCCTCCTCTCTTCTCTTTCTTCTTCTTCTCCTTTTCCTCAGTGTGCATAGATCCTGTCCTTTGCAATACCCTGAGTCTGTGCCTTGTAGAAATAAAGCTTTGCTTAACTAGAGAGAGTCTGCACAAGTCCTTACTCACCTGCCTGGCTCCTTGGCATACTACTGAATGATACCCTTTGTTACCATGTGGGCTTGTATTTGCATTTTATATGTGTTGTGCTTATGAAGTATTGCTCAAATGTCTATGTATCTGTGCTTTTGGGACTCAGAGCCCTTTTGTTGTGTGTGTTTGCTGCCATGCGCTTGAATAGCTGGCCTTACACCTCACCCTGTCCCTGATGGGCACGGCTGAGATGCCAGCTACAGCGCACATGCTTTCACTGGAATTTTCCACTGTGCCCCTGGCCCAAAGAGGTCATCACCGGTATGCATCAGGAGACATTTGGAGATGCACCAGGCGTGACCACCCTTGATGGATTATGGGAAACTACCAACTCCCTTCCTGCTATCTGGTTTGGGCATCGAAAGACAATACTGTTTTATTGCCCTGAGGACCAGGCTCATCTCTACTCCAAAGGTCGCCAAGGAAACGGAGGTTTCACACATCACCACATGGCTCCGCTTTGATGTAGGGACAGAATATTCTCATATTGCCCATTGCCCTCTTTAGGACGTCATCCCTTAGTGGACCTATAGCTTTAGAACAGAGGACGGATATTAAGATTTATGACAGGTAAAGCCATGCCCAGAACAGAGCTGGTAAAAGGGGAAACGCGGCTTTGTTCGCTCTCTTCTCTTCTCTCCAGCTTCTGCTCTCCCCCTTAAAGCACTAAGGTGCTTCAGGTGACTCTCTAAGTTCCCCGGAGTCGCGACCAGGGAACGCACACGTGGCGTGGCAGGACCAGCCTCTGTGTGTTCAGAGTTCACCAGTTGATACGTTAGTTGCCCCCTTTTTCCTAGGAGGAGATTTCTTCTCAGCGGACCTCAGATAAGTATAGCCGCCTATTTG